TGCAGGTGTGAAAATGCAATAAGGCTCCAGGTCTGTCTGTGAGGATAGTGGTCCCTGTGTTTGTGAGAGGCAGCCAATCAGGAAGAAGCTGTTTTAAGGCGAAAGGAGCTAAAACAGCTTGTTTCAGTGGATGGTCATCTGCATGTCATCTGACATACCAGAAATACATAAGCCATACAATGGGTATTAACTCTGATCTAGTATTTCTTCAATGTGGTGTTTTTACTCTACCTTAAGCAAAAACTGGGTACTTTTTGTACTTAAAGTTCTGAGTTTAGCTACGACTTTGAATATAGTAACTAACCAGTGGAGTGTAGCCTGTGTGCTAAACGCAGGTTGTTACCATCTGTGAGTTCTGTAAGCCCCTGACAGGCTGTGCTTCCATCAACCTGTTCAGAATTTGTTTAATCTTTCCTCTTGATGTTTTGTCTTGAGATATAAATACAGGCAAACGGACCCACTGTTTATAACCATTAGTTTTAAGGCCCAGGCTTCACTGTTCTTCAGGACAGATCATGTTATCCAAAAGTTCTTAAAGGTGAACGCTTTTGTTAATAAAGGTAATCAGTGGCAGGGACAATCATTTAACAGTTTATTTAAAGCCTAAGTGTGTGCGTGCCTGAGTGTGTGTGTTTCTCAAAGTAATGACAGTATTGTAAATCTGTTATGGCAGAGTATGGCATCAGCATATCTCCCACCTTTGGTTTGGTGACATGTAACTTATTTCTTGGAAATTATTTACAAACATACTAACCGACAAGTATTGGTTAGTGGGTTTGTGTTTCTGTGTGTGTGCTGCCTGTCAGTCATGAAGCTGAAGTTAGTTGCCATGACAAGATGAAAAATCACCCAAGAGGAAGTTCTGGAGGTCTGGTGTAATAATAAAGGCCCCTCCATGAACTCTAAGCAGACGGTGGAGCAATTACATCCTGAGATGATGCAGTAGATCTTTGTCAATTTCCTTTTATTTGGTGTGCACAGCTCTACATTATATCAGGAATAAAGAACTCAAAAACAGAAGTGGCCAGAGTATGGAATGAGGTGGATGGCCATATCACCACCCAGCGTTTAGCTTGGCTTTTTTTCAAAAGGGAAATGGCCAAAGTGCATTTAGATAGTGTGTTTCAAGTGTGCTTAACTTTTGTACTCCGATTACTCACTTGTTTTATTTTCTCTCTTAACTAAATATTTGTAAGCTTGAACTGTTTTACTAGTTTACTGCTGCTTAATGCACGCTCGCTCTAAACAGACGAACGGCCACTTATTCTGTTTGTTGTTGAGATCTGTAGATGTTAAAGATTGATTTAAAACAAAACAAGAGCCTAATAAGAGCTTTTTCTTGGAAAGGAACATTTACCATAACTGGCTGGCAAAATCAGGGTGTCACAAGGACTTTTGGCCCCCTTAATGAATTTGAAGAAGTGAGCAAAATAAGCTGCTGTGTGCAGCTGCCAGGTGTGAAGGCGTCGCAAATGTAAAGCACGGCACAGCTGATAAAGGGCACACAAACCTGCATTTGGATGAGTAAGTGTTATCATCTCTGTCCTCAGTAGTGAAAAATGTGAATGTAGCACAGCCTCTGCTTCCAACCAGATATTGTTGTGTTGTGCACTGAGTTAAGTCAGCGGTCACTTAGATATCACATTAGCAAAATAACAAGGACCCACTGGCTGCACAAGTCAATAAAGCTGTCAGTCTGCCCTGTTGAAACGTCCTTGAGTAAAGGCTCCTACCCATGTCTTGCCTGGAGTAGTTATAAAAAGAGCACTAGGAGATGACAAATGTTCCAAATATGAAAATATAAAAGAAGCAGTGGGCCTGTTGAGGACATTACGTGAGAGTGAGAGTCTTATCAGTCAAAGTTGTGCATGTGGTGAGTGAGGAAGCTGGTCTCTGGCCCAGTGCACTTAAGGCAAGAGGATTAGGCTCCAGAGTATTATTAGAGCTACTGATTATCCCCTTACCTGATCTGCCTAATTCTAGTTCAAGCCTATTTATTTAGCAGAAAAAGTGGAAAATAGTTTGGTTTGGGCTACAGAAAGTGAATTGGTCTCGCTGCACTTGAGCGCTCTGTTGAGTCCAGCATAGACTCCTTTGGAGTTCTCTGCTGAACTCATTAGGTCTTGGCCTTTTTTGACGCTGCCTCCCCCGTTGTGAGGTTCATGTGATTAATGCACTGTTGACCACTGCAGGCCAGCAGCAAGGACTTGTTTTGGTGCCAAAGAACAGCAAACAAAAGAGAAAATTTTCTCTGCAAATAACCAAGGAGACTGGTCTCAAAAGTGACCAGTCCCTTGACTCATTGATGAACACAAGCAGCCCAATATCTCCACAAGAAAGTTCAACACAAAGGTTTCAAATCCATTCATCCTCAAGTCTAAAGCTGTTATGCATTTGTTTGGATGTAATTACACACCCACTGCCTCTGACCTTGCGCCCAGAGAAAGGCTTTGAGGCCCGCATCCTCGAGTGGGAGTGAGGAATCAAATGTGAACATAAGCTGATAAATCCTGCTAACTGATCATACAAATCCTTGTAAAAGAACTAAACGTCAAAATATATTGGTGGTTTACTTTTCTTGCTTTATTTATTTTTTAGTGAGGGACTAATCAGTGATAAGAGGAGGCAGGAACCCACGTGTGATCCAGTGTGTGTCTGTTCTGTACTCTTAACCTCCCACCGAGTATTGGGACAACCGCCAGAGCCAAGCTTAACTGCCACCTTGTCCACAGCAATGTTCTGAAGAGCTTCTGTACATGCTTCCTGTTCCAGTATCCAGACTATTTCAGTTAGCATGCATCAGTAGGATAGAGTAGTCCCAGTGGCAGTTTGCTAGCATTTTCCAAAGTACTGCAAAATATGTATAGGGTTTAATGTTCTAGCTACGAGGATCTTTTCTGCATAAAGTAATTTTTGACACCCCAAAGAGATTTTAACCAAATAAATAAATAAATAACCAGTACTGGAATTAAGTTATTTTTTAGCCTGTTTTATAAATTGGGATTTTATTTAATCAGGCATATATATTACACATGTATTCCCTGTAGCCCGTGTTCTCTATTAATAATGAATGTCTGTACTGTGCAAAAGGAGGGCCTAAGGAAGGAAAGGGTCTTACACATTAATATAATTTTTTTTCCCATTTTTTTCAGATATATAATATTCTAATGTTTTGGGAAATAAAGTGTTTATTCCATATTGCATTTTGTTGGCTTTTTCAAAAGTAAGCAATGTCAATTTAACAAATTTGTCAATAATTAATTTTCAGTATGATTTTCTGGATATGTATTTGTCTGACACAGACTTAAAGGATTTTCTAAAAGGGTAATAAACAAAACCCCACTAAGCTTACATGTCGTAATCTCCATTATTTAATTATCCTCTGTCCCTTTTGAACTGTGCGGCAAGCTCTGGAGCTGTGACTGATACATTATCAATTCATTAAGTTGTTATGGCTGACATGTTAGAAAATATTTGCTTATTTATACAACCAGTGAGCATGGAGGAGTAAAGGCATTCATGTGAAGTTGAGTTTCTGGCCACCTGATGAATCATTTGTTTGGTATTTGTCAATACCCTAGGGAAATATCAGGCTGAGTAAAAGCTAAAGGCCTCCATTATATGTTTACACAAGCTCACACCTACCTTTGTCTGGGCAGGCAGCGTATAGTTCTTCCTCTGAGCAGTTTCTCATTTGGACTAAATTACTCTATAAAGTGAAAGATGTCGCTTGTACTGATGAACCCTCAGAGGATAATTACCAGCTGCAGCAAGGAGGCGTTTTCAGTGCGTGCCTATCTCATCTGCTGCTTCTGCCCTTTCTGGCTCTCCCACAGCGGCATGCTGGCTGCTGTCCTCCTCCTCATGTTAGCTATAGATATCTTTTTCTGACCCTCATTTGCTTTAGCTGCCACATCAGTGCTGGCTGAAGCATGGAAATACTGAAATAAATAATTTAAGTGGTAAGCTATCACACTGGTTGGACTTTTGGATATTCTCCTGGACACTTTATGGACTCTGTTTAGTTAAAAGCTCTGGTTCAGACTATGTCTGGATCTCAGTAAGCCCTGAGCGTCTGAGTTAAATAACTTTAGCAATATTTGATTGCAGGTCTAGTTATTAACAGTTAATAACAGAGTGCTAATCTCCTCAAACCATATCTGACCTGACTGCTTGGCTCCTTATTTGACACACTTGACTGTAGATTATTGAAGGTAATATGGTTATGGAAGTGAATTCTGTTTTAGTTTTTAATGCCCACCCACTTTCTTTCTTTCTTTCTGGGCATAAACATGTTAATAACTTATTTGAGGAGTAAGAGCATTGTCAGACTTTGATGTACCAGTTTTGAACAAACCTGTGTCTTTTATGATGATGTCACCTGTTGCTATGTGGAGAAAGACCAATAATAATCCTTCCATCAGTGCATGGTAATGCATTCAGATTGTGTGCACTACAAAGAAGGACTATTCACAGAAAGTCGATGTGTCAGTCTGTATTTGTGTATGTGTGTGAGAGCAGGTCAAGAAGAAGCTGAGCAAAATTGTTTCCTTGGATGCTGCTCAGCACTGGAATAAAACCGTACCCTTTTAAATAGTAAGGAGATCTAAAAATCAATACATGGCAGTCGAGGTTGCTGCCACAAATAATTTAGTGTATGGATAACACTGACCTGGTCGCCACATATATTTAGGCATTTGTTAATATACGTAGGCAGCCTGCACGAGTAAAAAGTGAAGCAAAACAGAGCTAAACACAAAGTCAATTTTAGACCCACCAGTCTAGATGTCAATATATGCTAATTTTGCTTAGTGCCTGTAATTCAATATAAATATCGGTTTTACAAATTGTTGATAGGATACTATTGTGTTTACAGCTTGCTGTGGTGCCCCTAACGGCCAGACAGGTTTTAGTACCGCTTTAAGACATGTTTTTGTTTTATATTACAATATAGATGCCTAATTAGAGTTGTAACCCTTAATTTGTTCTTCTTTTTGCAGTGTCCAGGGACATGAAACTCAATCCACAGCAAGCTCCATTATATGTAAGTATCACATAATCACACAACACTAGCAGCAAAGCTGTTGTTCCAGTTCACATAATTATTTTTTCTTTTAACGCTTCTGCATTCACGTGCTGCGTAGGTGTGGTGGTGAAGGCGCTCGATCTGTTGAACCCGTTAAGCCGGGAAACCGTAATTCTTTATCAATATTTGTTTACATGGTTTGATGACCTCATATAATGCCTGGAATGTCAGTTCTTGATTTCCACCTCTCCACCTGATAACAGGTCTAATTAACAGGAACTACTGAAAACAGCTGCGTGGGTGTGCAGGACCAGATAGTGGAGAGCATACTGGACTGCATGCAAATGAACTAAATGTTTAATGTTTGCTGACTGGAAAATGGTCGATACTGTTTTTACTGTCCGCTTTTAGGTCTGAGGTCATCATTTTGCATGTTGACACACTGATGATGAAAAAGAAAGAAAGTAGACCCACATAACTGAGTAGGAAGTGAATGACAAGAAATATTACAAGACAGCATAAAACTATTCTTCCAAACACATCTTTTTTTAAAATAAATTTTTTAAATAACATTTAAGCACTGTGGCTTCAGTCAGAATAAAACCTTTCACTCCTGGAAGTGTCTTCTTTGATCCATTCATTTTTGAAGAGATACACATCAGGAATATCCTAACCTAGTGTTGTGTAGCTTTGAAGTACATAGGTATCTTAACCACCTGTTATTATGTCAACGTTACAGAGATAAATAGATGAACACTCTCAAAGACAACCAGCTTTCCAAACATCCCTTTGTTCATGATAAGTTGATCATAGCCATTCATAGTCATACTGTTTTTTTATTGACGAGGAGATACAAATGCCTTTAGGGTTGCATCAGGAAGAGCATCCGGCATAAAAAATGCAGCCAAATCAAACATGCAGAGCTCCCCGCTGTGGCGAGCCCTTGTGAGCAGCCGGAAGTAGGTTTTTATATATTCATCAATTCATTCATATTTTAACCGCATTGACGAATGTTTGGGATGTCGAGGCTGCAGGTTGAGTATGTTGCCCCTGATATCCTTTGCGTAGAGAGTTTTTTGCATTTGTGACTATATAAAACAATAGCTCAAGGTGCTGTATGCTAATCATTACAAATTTCTGTGCAGTTGTCTGCTGGAATAAAATAGCTGGCGAAAACATGTGGCGAGACACTGTTTCTAAATGACGGACATAGCCATTGTGATGCTCAGTGTGAGCATTTTGATCATTGCTATGTTGATTTTTGGAACACGAAGTGAGCACGTTTGGACGTATTAAAACCATATTTGGGTACAAATGAACGAGCTGTTGACGAGGAGTCTGTTGGGAGTGATTCTTGAAGATGGTCTCAAGCGGCCACTACACAATGGCTTAACTTTTTAACCCTGGAGCTTGCTGCTTGCTTGAGTCTCTTGTCATTCT